GGTTGATCGATAGAATCTAGCACTCGGCAGGTATTTGCTAGGGGAGAGGAGGATTGAGTAACTGAAGTAAAACTAGTGATCTGATTGACTGTCTAGTAGACTNTTGGGTTTCCTCTAGTTCTATCTACTTAGCTGATCTACTACTATATATATTTGACTATATCAGATTCTAGAAGAATCTGCCACGTAATAGCTTGCGTAATCTTTAGCGTAATAGATATCTGTTTGATCGATCAGATGTATGTTGATCGATTATTACAGTCTTTTATCACAGTCTTGGCAGACTAATGATAGAATCTAGGTTTTAGCCAAGCACCCGGATTCTGCTAGAGATCAGCTGACTAGCTTATATCTCTAACAGAGTTTACTTAAAAACCATACATCTAAAAGATCTAGATCCTTTTTAGGCTTAGGTAATAACCAGAAGAGTATAGCGGCTTTTACTAGGGCTATTTTTGAAGAGTGGCAAGCTATTCCACAACAGGATATAGATAATTGTATTTTATCTCTACCTAGGCGTTGGCAAGCTGCAGTAGAAGCTAAGGGCTGGTACACTAAATATTAGCTTCTATTCTTAGCGAGGAATAAATATACTCTAAAAAATCAGACTCTTCTATATATCACGTGATCTAACTAGTAAAGGTATACTATAACAGTCAGAGCTTAGAGATTAAAGATAGATCTATAATATATATTAGACTTGGACCCTTTTATATAAAAACAATAGAGTAATCTAGATATTATGTTTAGATTTATTCAAGCTTCTAGTTTGGGGATTTTAGTTCGCTCAGGGCTGCTGACTAAGCAAATACTGGGTCCACCATGCCAAACTAGCAGATCTTGGCTTTCTAGATCTGCAATTCGTTTATTTTTAGCTATCTTTTCCAGCTATATATTACAGTTTTAAAATAACCACTTTTTTAGTGACGTTTTTTTCGTGTCACCCCTCTGTATTATAACTTAAATTACTACCTTACTACGTCTCTTATATTAATTATACATAACACTATAGTTTTTAGCTCACTTATTAACTATATTAAAAGCTTTATTATAGCTATTATACAGAACTTTGAGTAGTAGTAAGTAATTATAATTGATAAGTAAGACCTCTTATAAACTATTAATTTTATACTCTATAATACTATAAAGCTTACTATAATTTTATTAGTATAGTATACGCTTAGTACTTTACTTATGGTATAAAGGCTTAAGCTATATAGCTTTATAAGCTATTGCTTTATAGGCTATAACTTTATAAACAGTAGCTTTATAAAAAGTAGCTTTATAGAAAGTAGCTTTATAAGTAAAGGCGTTACTTAATAACTTTAGTTTTAACTTAGAATCAGTATAACGTGGTTCACAAGTAAGTCGCTAACCTAAGCGAGTCGCTAACGCCCCACTACCACATCTATATTAACACGTTATTATAGTTTTTTATTATAGTTAATAAACTATTGTAATATACTAAATTTATAATTAGAATTGCTACTATTACTTACACTATTTATCTTGACTACGTAGGTACAAGCGTTGTGTCTAGTCTACTTACAACGCTTGCACTACCACTCTCCTTGCACCCTCTTTAACGCACTTTTACTATTACTACAACTACTACTTACCTATTTAGCTAATACTTTTTATACTTTACTTATAGTAATAGTCTCTTCTATCTATATATATTGCTACTTATAGCTTTTACGCTTATTTAACTTATTAAGAGCTATTTAAAGCGTACCTATTTCTTCTATTATAAGCGTTATTTTATATACTATTTACTAGGCCCTCTTACTTAGCTATATAATCTACTTAGTAAAGAGATTAGTAAAAGACCTATAGCGTTTTCTTACGCTCTCTTAAATAAGACTAATTTAAGACTTAACTTCGCGCGCGTTGCGTAGTGTCTGTGCCTACTAGGTAGCTACCTATTATAGTAATTATATAAGTGTCTACACTACTATATTAAGCTTAGATAGCATAGCCTATAGGTTGTATAGGACTAGACTAGCGCCTCTAAAGCTAGCTTAGATATTCTCCTTTATAATAGACTGCTTAAAAGTAGTCTTAAAGGCTAGTAAAAAGGTCTTTTTACTAATATAGTAGGTGCAGTTACGTGCTAAGCCTAAAATAGAGTTGCTATACTTGCGCTTTAATAGCGAGAAGTAGGCAACGTTAAGGGGCTATAATAGGTAAGATAAGTGCGTAGGTATATAGAGAAGTATAATATTCTTCTCCTTGCAAAGATCTTAGAAATTAATAGAGTAGTAGCTCTTATAGCTATTAATGACAAGTAGTTAATACCTACCTATAGTAGAGCTCTCTATATAGGTATTAAAGTGCTCTAACTAAGTAAAACTAAGCTAATTATTTGTTTAGCTATTAAAACTAACTTTAAGAACTTAGTTAGTAAGCAAAATCTTAAACTAGACGTTAATAAGCACCTTACCTATAAAGATAATAAAGAGTAGTATTTAGCAACCTAACGCGCCTACGCCTTAGATTATTGTAACCTACTTATAGTTACTTAGCTATATCTACTTTTTTTTCTATATTCTTTTAATCCTATAATAACTAACTATAATAAAATCTTACTTATTATAAAGCTAGTTTTATTAAAGTTATAGATATTATTATCTATAATACCCTACTTCTACCTTATTACCTAGACTAAGTTAAACTAGCGCTAGATAGCTACTAGATTCTTATAGGCAGCTTACTAGTAATTATAAGAATAGCTTTAGCGCGTACGAAGCTTAGAAGTCTACTCAATAAAGTTATTAACCTAGTTCTTACTAATAACGTTGCTACTACGCTCTTTTAATATTTTATAAGCTATTACTTAGATATCAAGCATTATAAGCGCAAATTCTTATATAGACTTTTTAAAAATACGCTTAACTATAGCCTCCTCTTTTAGCTTATTTGGACGCTTTAATTTTAGCTTATATTTGCATTAAGGGCGCTTTCTAGTTCATTAATTAGATAGAGTTCTTTATAAGACGTTATAGATAGTAGTAGTATAGTTTATACTCTAAATATATTATAACTAAACATTAAAAAGAGTAAGTTAATAGTAAGATTTACAATATATTAATAGATAGTTATGTTATTAAGACATCACGCGTTATAGTAATAAAGTTAATAGGCTAGTAGGGCGTTAGTGACTTAGGTTAGCAACTTACTTGTGAACTACGTTATAAGTAGTAAGCAATATAATAAAACGTAAAATTAATAAAGTTTTTAGTATATTTTAATAATTTCTATGCGTTATATATTATAGGTTAAAATAGCTTAGAGGCTACCTAGCTCGCCTAAAATATAGCACTAGCGCTTTCTACTCAATAGGTATTATTTAGCTACTTAGTAAGTTATAAAAAAAAGCTAAGTTATTTAATTATAGTGCTAACTCTATAGAGTTTAAATGACGCGCCCCTAATGTAGACCCTAGCTTTGAGGTGGGTGAGATAGCTATTAGTGGTGGGTTGTTTAACTATTGCCATGTTAATCACTGCACAATTCCTGCTAGAGATGCAGCGTGAGCAGTATAAAGCCTCTCTCCCCCACGCCCGTCTCTCCAATGGTGCACCCAGCGAAATGCTCGTATCTGCCAAGTCATTCCATGCCACTAGAGTATTACCGACGGGCTCGTGTGCGGGAATCGCCTTTGCCTTGTAGATGCAGGTAGCAGTAGCCTCATGGTGACTTTGTTGAGATCTGCTCTAGTCCCTTGAGGATCGTCTACCCCGGATTCCCTTTGTGCCTGTTTCCCTATATAGCGCCTCCTGACATGCCCTGTCGCATGTCGAGGGCTGAGGTGGAGGGGGGTTGTTTGAACATGGATACCGTGCAATCCCTCGGGCATTGCGTCACGGAAACTCTAGCCATGTGGCCAAAGCTCAAGCTGCTGCTTCCTGACAAACTGAACGCTTCACCACCTCAGTAGTGGCAGCAACGCGTGCCAACCAACCCTCACTTGGGAGCGCGTGCATCCTACATCCCACACGTGCTAGACTGGCTTTGACAGCCACCTCTGCCTTGTCGAACAAGAGTTCGCATTCGCAGCTACCCCACCATGCATGGCCTTCTGGAGCGCTCGCTACAGCTCCTCCACTCATTCCATCCCGCCAACTTTGGTGCGTATCTCTCGCCCACCAACACGTGTGATTTTCATCCGTTTTGACATGACATTTCCCATGTCAAGGATATCCACTGACTCTGACAAGGTGGTGCTTCTGGACCGCAGATTCCGCTTCACGCTACCCCTACTGCACAGTCTGCTGGTGTTCCAGACTATTTTGTCACCGATGACGGGCATTTCCAAGGCCCAACCCAGACGGGCGCTGCCCCGTTCCTTGCCCAGACCAACGCTGCGCCCTTTGCCGGTGTATCGTACATACCAAACACGCCGTTGGAGACGCAAATGCCTATTCCGGGTAACCCAGACAACAAGAATATCTTCCAGAGCCTGGCCAACCTGAGTCCCTACTTTCCTAATCCCCGCGGTTTCGGCGTCAAGGAATACCCGATTCCTCCGGGCACAAACGTAACATGGCTCAACATGGTCCATCGACATGGCAGTCGGTACCCCGAAGTCAGTGGTGATGCTGCCGAGCGTACTCTGGGCAAGAAGCTTGCAGATGCAGCTGGCAAATTTACTGGCCACGGTCCGCTTTCCTTCCTCAACGATTGGCAGTTTCTGCTCGGCGCTGAGATTCTGGTTCCCAACGGAAAATACGAACTCTTTCAGTCTGGTACTCTACACTACTATCAGTATGGTCACTTGTATCCCAACAATGGATCCAAGATTGTTGTAAGGAGCACTACGCAGCGCCGCATGACAGAATCGGCAGAATATTTTCTTGCCGGCTTCTTTGGGCTGGGTTGGACCCAGAATGCAACGCTGGAACTTGCCATTGAAGCACCAGGCTTCAACAATACGCTTGCTGGCTACAAGCAGTGCAATCATTCCAGCTGGCAGTCGAGCAAGGACGCGCTCATGGACTGGGTTGGTGTATATCTGCATGATGCCCACCAAAGAATCAAGAGCAATATTACTGGTGATCTGGACTGGACTCTGAAGGATACATGTAGGTTTTTCTCAACCAACCTGGGCCTGACTAATAGCCCCCAGATAACGCGCAAGCCCTATGCTCCTACGAAACAGTCTCGCTAGGATTCTCCCACTGGTGCGGCATCTTCACCTACGAAGAATGGCAAGGCTTCGAGTACTCTCTCGACATTGGCTTCCAAGCCGGCACAGGCTTTGCCTCGCCCGTTGGCCGCGCCATCGGCATAGGTATGTATAAATAGACCCCAAGTCATGATCCAACTAACCATATCGAATAGGCTACGTCGAAGAAGTCCTCGCCCGTATGCAACACCACGTCATCACTTCGCCCACGGCCCAAATCAACGTGACACTGGACAACAACACGGTCACATTTCCCATTGACCAAGCCCTCAACCTCGACTTCAGCCACGACGCCGGCATCCTCAGCATCCTCGTTGCCTTTGGCCTCACCCAGTTCAACGACTCCCTCCCCACAACCCACATCAAGCACGACCGTCAATTCATCCTCTCCCACCTCCAGCCTTTTGCCGGCCGCCTCGACATTGAAGTCATCAAGGCCCCTGCCCCTGTGAATCCCAAACGCACAAGCGCCGAGCACATTTACCTCGATGGGCCCCCGACAAGCTACGTCCATTTCATCCTCAACCAGAGGACTATTCCCCTGGGCAAAAGCCATGTCGAGTGCGGCCTTCGAGACGACGGATGGTGTGACATGGACACGTTTCTCCGCGTCATGCACAAGCAGATTGAGCTGGCTGATTACGACTATGCGTGCTTTGGCGACTATGAGAATCCAAGTTATGGTCATGTAACGGATGGAAGACCACCCAGGTAATTGACTCATGCATGACCCTGGCAATCAAAGGAGAACATGACGCCATCTTATAGGCTAGTTTGTTTGTTTGACACAAGCATCTACCTAGAATACACTGCACTTTCTATACATTACTCATCAATATCATAACACAAAAAAAACCTGAATGATATCTTCTTTGTCAAAATTCGACTTAAGTGTACACAAAATACAGGTTTCGCATGCTGTTCAGAAAACGCTCACAGCTGCCAACTCTATGCCTCTCTACACCTCCTTTGCCTTTCTCTCTCTCTCTCTCTCTCACCCCCTCACTCCCCCTTCCTTCTCGTCTCCTGACTAGTCTGCTTGCTTTATGAAAGCATCCTGCTCATGTCGTTCCGGATGCGGTTGTAGTCCAGCAGACCCTCAATCTGACCAACGGCTGAAATAGCCACGTCCTTGTCCCATAGTCTGTTGCGTGCAAACTGCATCACGTCCTTCTCCGTGATGCGGCCAACAACACGCTCAACCTCCTCGGGTGATAACCGGCGACCCGTCGTCACAATCTGGCGGCCAATGTCCTCGGCCACAGCAGTCGTGCCATCAAGCGCGAGAAGAATCGACGCCTTGAGTTGGGCCTTGGCACGCTCAACCTCGGCCGAAGTCACGTTCATCGAAAGGCGAGTCCACTCGCGGAGAGTGAAGTGGACAAGGTCATCAAGCTGCGTCAGGTTGGAGCTGTTAAGGTAGATACCCCAGAGACTAGCATATATTAGCCGCATTCCTATACTTGTTTTGCTTTTTCATATCGCAACTTACCCAGTGTCAGAGTAGCTGGTGGAGAAGCTCATGAAGCTGTTGGCCAAACCGTGCTGCGAGACAAAGTTACTGAGCTTGCTGCCAAGGTAGTCCGAGGTACCCATGGCGCGGTCCCAGTTACCGACAATAGCCTGTGTTACCAGTGCGGTGAAGTAGTCGGGGTCGCTCCAGCTGACACCCTCCACGGCAATGGCAATGTTGGCGGTGCCCATGGTGTCGTCACGGAGACGGACCTCGGATCCAACAAAGTCGGGCTTCTGCTTCTGCTCAGCAGCGATCGACTTTGACGAGTAGTCCTGGGGCTCCGAGGGGAGGTTGGCAAAGTACTTCTCGGCAAGGTCGACGAGCTGCTCGTGGGGGATGCCGCCGGCACCGACGAGGACCATGCGGTCGGCAGTGTAGTTGGTCTTGATGTAGTTCTCGAGGTCGGCGCGCTGGATGCTCTGGATGTTCTCCTTGGGTCCGAGAATGGTGCGGCCGAGGGGCTGGCCCTGGAAAGCCGTGGCGTGGAGGTGGTCGAACACAACCTCCTCGAGCTGCTTGTCCACCTCTTCCTGCTCGCGGAGAATGACATCGCGCTCGCGCTCAATGGCGGCGGGCTCGAGCTTGGAGTTTTGCAGAATGTCTGAGAGGATGTCGACGGCGGCGGGGACGTCGTTGTTGAAGGCCTTGGCGTAATAGACGGTGTTTTCACGCTGTCACGTCATCAATATCCGTCGTGTAGATGCGTCTCTTTCGGGCGCACGTACCGAGGTGTAGGCGTTCAGGTGGCCGCCCATGTTCTCAATCTCGAGTTCCAATTGCTGCTGAGTGCGCTTCTGGGTTCCCTGTCGTCTCTACATCAGCATTCCTGTCGCCCCGCACTGCCATTGGCTGCCAGCCGCGTGTCCGTACCTTGAAAGCAAGATGCTCCAGGAAGTGTGCAGTTCCATTGGTCTTGTCCGTCTCTGCGCGGCTTCCTGCGTCGATCCACACACCGACGGTCGAAGTCTGGGCCCACGGGGAGTGCTCGGTAGCAATCTGCACACTGGGGTCAATTGCAGTCCTGACGGATCACAGCGTGTGTGGCATACCGTGAAGCCGTTTTTGAGCGTGGTCGACTCGGTCTTTGCGCCATAGGAAATGGGTGTGGCCAGGCCTCGTGTCAAAGGCGACTGTCTCGATGACTTGACGGCGCTGATGGCGGAGCGAGAGCGCATGCTCTGCTGCAGGTTGAGTGCGAGCCGCCGGGAAGCCATTGCGTCTGCTCGCTGGGTGCGGGGGACGATGGGAGATGGGGCGGTGATGGGGGGGTTTGGGGTTGAGATTCGTCGAGCTGCAGCTTGGCCTAGGTTGAGGTTGATTGACGTTCGAAATCTGCTGTCACGGGACTTCCCGGGTTCCACCGCTGGCCAATGAGCGCTACAGGGACGTCAGCAGTGCTCATCCGAGGCATTGTCGTCAACATCTGTTCGCCGTTCCGACATATCGTCTTGCAACCTCCCACTGCCTCTGCCCACGCCTGTGCCTCTCCAACCACTGCAATGGCTTCCATGATGCGTCCCACTCTCTTCAGGCAGGCCTGCGCCCAGCCCACAGCCTCGCAGCGCATGCTGTCGACAGCCACCTCCACCATGAACCGCCCGCTTGCCCAGCAGCTGCGACCAGCTTTCCAGCGCTCGGCCATTCCCCAGTCCACCCGCGTCGCCGCCTTCCACGCCACCCAGCGCAAGCAGATCTTGCCCCCGCTTCCCCAGAAGATTGTCGGAACCGCCAACGACCCCGTGCCTGTGCCCGCGCCAGACTATACGCATGGCAGCTATCACTGGAGTTTTGAGAGGTATGGCAGTCGACTTGTTTGGGAGAATTTGGACATGTGCAAGAGGAGGGCTGAAACGTTTGCGCTGTATACTACACGAACACCCGCTGACAGTGGTCTAGGATCATCTCCGCTGGTCTGGTTCCCTTGACCATTGCACCCTTCGCCGCTGGATCGCTCAACCCCATTACCGACTCAATTCTCTGCGCACTCCTCGTCGTACACTCGCACATTGGCTTCGAGTATGTAGAGCCCATTACAAGCACACATCCACTACCGACATGTGTGGACTAACATATCCAGGGCATGCATTATTGACTACTTCCCTAAGAAGCGTGTCCCCCTCGTCCGCAACCTCTCCATGTGGGCTCTCCGTATCGGAACCGTCACTCTGGGTATTGCCCTCTACTCGTTTGAGACCAACGACGTCGGCATTACCGAGGCTATTGCCAGGCTGTGGCACGCATAAAGTGGGGGTTGGGGACTGTACATCAAAAATACACAGGTTGTATAACGTTTCTTGCTTAGAATATAAGTACACAATGTTCATATGGTTGCCACATTTTGCTCGTGAAGTTTTTGCGCCTCTGATACTGGAGTCTCTTCTATGATCTGGCTCTTTCAGCTGCCGCCAATGTCCCAGGGCCCCTGTGCCCCTCACTATGAAATGCGCCAGTGCGCAACACGAACCTATCAAATCCGTTACCAGACTCTAGTACCCCAAGTTTCCACAGACAGTTTCCCGACACATCTTGAGGCCGTGTGATAATCATGTGAAAGGCACAGCTGAGCTGTCGACGCCAGAACGACCATGCCAAGGCATGGACGAACATGACTTGTGAGAACAAGCAGCACCGCATACTCAATATTTCAATCAACTCATGTTACTTCATTGTACTTGTACGTCTGTCTGCCATGGCAGGATATCCAAGCACGTCACTCAGTCTTCAGCATATCAGTCACAGTGCGAGTACATACTCATCTACACAGTATCAATTCTTTTAGCTCATCACTCACTTGATAGGATATTTGCAACGATTTGTTATTGTTTACTGTAGGTTGAAAGAAGGGAATAGTGTTTAATTACAAGTCTGTTGAGGGGACTCTTTGTAACGGCCAAGTCAGGAGTAACTATACTACCTAGACGTGCCAACAACCAAGTCGATATCATCATCTAAGTCTTGGACTGACGGAAATCATGAATGGTGACGAACATACAAGCGGGGACTGGATATGACGCATGTTTGTGGGGCTGGGATGACTTTGGAAAATAGTTGGGCGCATGAAGTGTAGAGAGGTTAAGAATTTGGAGTCTAATAAAGCGCTCCCGGCCAGAAGCCCCATGGATATACCTGTCATGCGACTAGAAAACGATGACCAAGGCATCATTGATTCTTACCAAGATACACCGTGCCATTAATCCCGGTCATTTTTGCGTCTGATATATTTTTTCGACTTTATGCCTTGGGCTCGGCGGGGGCCTCACTGCTCTCAGCCTTGGGCGCGTCGGTGGCAGGCTCGGCGGCGGGTGCGTCACCAGAGGGCTCGGCCTCGGAAGATGTCCAGAGGGTCTGAAGTGAATTAGCACGTGTACGCTTATCCAAGCGCCTGCTGAAAACGTACCAGGTTGTCCCTGAGGAGCTGCATGATGAGGGTAGAGTCCTTGTAGCTCTCCTCAGACAGGGTGTCGAGCTCTGTGTTGCGATTAGCTTGGTCTTTGAGGATGTGCGCATCTTGCACCTACCAGCAATGGCATCGTCGAAAGCCTGCTTGGCCAATTGGCAAGCCTGGTCGGGCGAGTTGAGGATCTCGTAGTAGAAGACGGAGAAGTTCAGGGCAAGTCCGAGGCGGATGGGGTGGGTGGGGGCAAGGCTGGAGGCAGCGACCTCGGTGGCGGCCTTGTAGGCCTCAAGAGACTTGTCGGCAGAGGTCTTGCGCTTGTCGCCAACGGCAAACTCGGCAAGGTAGCGGTGGTAGTCACCCTTCCTGTTCAAGGACACAATCGTCAGCAGGTGCCCAAAAGTGGTCCATGTTGTGCGTCTTACATCTTGTGGTAGAAGACCTTGGACTCGCCGCTCTCAGCAGAGGGGATGAGGTGTCCGTCAAGGCACTCGAGAATGTCCTCGCAGATCTTGGCCAGCTCGGCCTCGATCTTCTGGCGGTACTCCTTGATAAGGTTGACCTGGGCCTCGTTGCCCTTGGACTCCTCCTTCTGCTCGATCGAGGTGACGATTCTCCAGGACGCGCGGCGAGCACCGATGACGTTCTTGTAGGCAACGGAAAGGAGATTTCGCTCCTCGACGGAGAGTTCCTGGTCCGCAGAGGCAACGGCCTTCATGTTCTCAACCATCTCTGCCGCAGGCGATTAGCTTGTGAAGTCGCGGCCCCGTGCAGGTGCGCTTACCCTCATAACGCTCGGCCTGCTCGGCCAGCTTGGCCAGGTACACGGAGTCTTCGTAACCCATTGTGATGTCTAGTCTAAATGCATGGCTGTTAGCTAACGCGGACCGGGCTAGAGCGCGGAAAGAGCGCAATCAGAACGCTATCGTCATGGCCGAGCGGCAAGCCCCTCAGTGTGCGCTGCTGCCATGGTGGAGCACACCGCTTGGATGCCGCCGCCGCTGCGTGCTGCTCTCTGCATGTCGTGGTGAGGGCGCGGACGAGGCGGCAAGTGGAGCTGTGGCAATTGCCTGCGTAGCCTTTGCACCTAACGGCGGTGGGCGCAAAGAGGGGCGGCTCAACCTGTCACCCACGGCTCTCCAAGGAGAGCGCCGCGACAGCACCGCCGCGACGACAACCATGGCGAGAGCGGTGGAGCGGACGGGCTGCGTGGCTGCGTGCAGATGACGGGCACGGCGGGTGTCGTCGTTGTCGTCGTCGGGGCGGCAAAGGGCGCAAATTGCAGCTGTCGACGGGCCTGGGGGGGGATGACGAAATGCGGTGACTGACTTACAAGGAGAGAAGAGATAGAGAAGAGATAGAGCAGAGGGAGAGCAGGTGTTTGGGGTGTTGGGGCGGTGGTGGTGGTGGTAAGGCGACGATGAGGGTGCGGACGAGAAGACGGTGTGCAGGAGTCGTAGTCAAGGGCGACTTTGGGTTGAGTTATCAGAGGAGGGGACTTTGGAGGCAGAGAGAACCCGACTCGGCTTGGCGTCGATCACGCCTGCCTGTCCTTGGTCGTTTCACACGGCCCAGAACAGGCGCGACCTTTCACTTTGGCCTCTCTGGACGGGCGAGGCAGCGCCCGTCACCGCCAGAGCGCCCGTTGCCTGTTGCCCGCCGCCCAGCTGCCCGCCTGGTGCTGCCGCCGTCTTCTTCTCTCTGGCCTCTCTGCCCCCGTGTGCGCCCCCGTGCGAGGTGCGTGCGAGGCCGACACGGCTGCCCCACAGCACACGCCCGCCATGACAGGTCCACGGCCGTCCGTCGACGCTACAGCGAGCACTGGGCATCGCCTTTGCTCCTGGGAGGCGTGCATTGGCCCTGGCCTGCCCGCTGAACGCCAGAACGGCCGCGTCGCTGCATACATCATGGGGGGCGGCGGGCGGCTTCACGACAGTCGTGGCAGGCCGGTGACATGCTCTGGCCGTGGGCGCAGTGCCCGCCTGCAGCCACACGCACTGCGCCCTCGAGGCTGGCGCGACACATAGGCGGTGTTTGGCCTGGCGCCGTCTTGTTAGCTGGACGCTGCAGTGGATGCTCGTGGCCATGTTGTGTATACGCGCTGCGTGGCATGCTCGACATGTTCATGCACGCCCTTCGCCGTGGTCGCCTGAAGCCCGTATCCGCTCAATCAGGGTCCAGATGGGCGTCTGGCCTGAGCCTTGCCCAAGACAAGCCGCCGTCACGTGCTTTCCATTGGCCGATGACGCACATGTCCAAGCTCCGCCAGGCGCCAATTGCAGTCACTCCACCTCGACTCAGCTGGCCCATCAATTGCATTCACCCCCCACGCCAAACACTCCTCACCCTCTCAATTCCACCCCTCCCTCACCCAGTCCTGCACAATGCTTCGCACTTCCATCATCAAGAGCGCGCGCGCAATCGCCGCCCCCCGCTACTTCTCCGCGTCTGCTCTGCGCCTAACAGAGGGAGCTACCGGCTCTGGGGCCTCAAGACCCACGGGCATGGCTGGCGGGTATGCAAACCCGAATCTGTGCTGACAAAGCTTGCAACTGGTGCTGACGGGGTTCTTAGTGACGCCTTTACCAAGCGCGAGGCTGCCGCCGAGGAGCTCTACATCCGTCAAGAGGAGAAGGCCAAGTAGGTGCATCCCGGGACCGCCAGCAACACCATTCGCAAACTACACATCGGCGGGATAGTCTTCGGGGTTGGAGGGCATGTTGCTGACTGTCTGCAGGCTTCTGGGCATCAAGGAGAAGCTCCGACAGCAAAAGAAGCACATGGACGAGCTGGAAAAGCACATGTCAGTAATCCGTGATATCTCTGGGTGAAAGCACATCCAGACTGACCGCTACACAGTGACGATGTCATCAAGGAATCTGAGGCTTCCGGCCAAGGCGAGCAGAAGTAACCGCATTTCTAGTGCTGCCAACGGACATCCCATGTCGGCAACCCATGCGTTGTAATGAATGAAAAGCAAAATCTACTCAATCACGTTCTCCCGCCTCCCGCTTCACTATCAGTCTTTCTATATTTGACCTCGATCATCGCCGTTACTATCCGTTTTTGATTCTCACCCCTCATTGTGGCTACAAGCAGACTGCACGTGTCTGCACAGGCTGGGGTCTTTTCTTGGCATACGCATATGACAAAAAGTAGGGCTGAAGGACGCGCAAGGCAAACCCAGACTAGCCCACCGCATGTACGACACTATCTGCCCTTAGCGGCCAAACCCCGTCTCACCAAGCTTGCAATTTGCGGTTAGACGCTGTCAGTGTCAGACTACTGCTAAAGTTTGGTGGCTGGTTGATGTGCGCCACTCACGAAATTAGATAGGTGAAACATGTTACCAGCGACCGTCAATGCAAAGACTCCGAGATCCGCCCGGAGGATCAAGCAGATCTACCCAAGGCAACGCTCGTGCTCGCACCCGATTGCTACCTGACGCTTCCTCGCTGTACTAAACGTTGACCACGGCGCATCTTCGCATTTGACCAAGCCTACCAGCCTTCAACACTAGGTCTAGCAATGTACGCTGGGCTTGCGCGAGTTTTCCACCAATTTCGGCCCATGGACGATGCCGATGCCGTATTCATCCACATGGTATTCACATTCCTATGACGCCACAACCGCGTCTCAGTCTACGCAATGCTCGCTCGCCCCTGCACACCTACAACTTTGACACGGCTGCAGATTGAGAACTCTTAGAAGCCGAGCCGTCCGCACCTTCGTCATTGTCGGGCCATCCTGAACGCCTCCGGTATTAACATTCACAGGGGGTTTTGCTTTTGTGCAAAAAACAGGTACCGAGATCGCCAAGATTCTGTACAACAGGGGCCTCCATACCAAACCGGAACGTCCACGTTACGACCAATGTCAGGGCAGCTACGTAGTTAGCTACAAGTACCCTGATCGCGCTATAAGCACAAGCATTCCTGTCTCGGGTAGGCTATCATTACAGCCATGCTGCGTCCTTATTCGCCAGAACCCACCGACCTTATACTTGTCTTGGCCATGCCAGTTATCTCCCCCACACACATATGCTAGGCAAGGCAATGCATGCTTCTTTTTACAAGTCAACCCATGCTGTGGCAATGCGCCTCTTCAGTCTTTCCCTTGCCGAGTTCGGTGAAAACGTCATTTCTATCATGGCCTGGACGCTGATACGGGGACCCTGGAACTGTTGCGCCATTTGTTGCGCTCATCGGCGAATGAGACAATCTAGAGGGGTTGGTTGAGGGCTGCAGGAGATGATTCCGAGCTACATGAGGTAGTTAGGAGGCTTATTCAAGGCCTCGTTCATGTTCGTAGCTACAACATAAAGATCGGCGGTGTTCCCTTTCGTTGAACAGCCCACATACAATCAGCTACTTTTACTATTACCAGCCTAATCACCACACACCTCCAAGTCTCGGCCACTCGCATCGCCAAGCATATACCTTCATGTCGCAACTGAACAGTCCCCCGGTCCACAACTATGGCCAGCATCTTTCTGACGGTCCAATAATGGAGTCTCCTGGGGTACTACCTGGGCGCGGATCCAGTGAGTCTCGGCGCGAGCTTCTACATTCACCACCTCAATCTCATCCAGCACCTTTCGACTTTCACTTTGAACCCGAAACACCAACTGCTCCTCCAAACCAAGCGCGAAGCTCCGCAAGCACGCCTATACGTCCTCGAAGGGTATCCCAGACTATGCCTTTTCCTCCCTCGGTTCATCCAACAGCCTCTATAGAAGAGAGCCCACAAGAAATGCAGGACCCTCGAATGTCCCATATGTATCAAAATCGCAACAGCAGAATGCACTCACGCCCTCCGGCTTCGTACACCAATTTTGCAGAGCGAAACTCACGCTATGGCCCGGTACGCAGGCCCAGCGTGGATCCGTACTCGCACCCGGCCTATGTGGACACGCCGCCCAAGCCAAACTACGAAATGTACTACCCATACTACACAGAGTCGCCTGCTCGCTACCCTGCCATGTGGACTACAAGTGGGGGTAAATCGTACCCACCCATTGATCCAAGGCCCGAGAACATTATCAGGCTGCCTTGGATGATCTGGATGGGAAGTCATGCCAAGAACCGTAAGTTGTCTCCCCTTTTTGAAAGCCTCACATAGAGTATCTCTTGACTCATCCTAACCAAACGAATAGACTTTGTAGCGTTCGTTGGCGAGTTTGTGGGAACCACCATGTTCCTCTTTTTTGCCTTTTCCGGCACTCAAGTCGCCAACATCAGGTCTGCTGCAGCACCGCAGTCCAACACCACAACCAACGAGGCGGCCGGTTTCTCACCTATTGTGCTTCTGTACATTGCTCTCGTCTTTGCCTTCTCCCTCATGGTCAACGTATGGGTCTTTTTCCGTATTTCTGGTGGCCTGTTCAACCCCGCCGTGACCTTTGCCATGCTGCTCTGCCGCGCCCTGAGTCCCATCCGCGCCTTCCTACTGGTATCAGCGCAGATTGGTGGAAGCATATTCTCTAGTTTTCTAGTCAAGGTGCTGTTCCCTACAAACTTCAACGTACGAACTACGCTGGGTGAAGGCACGAGCTTGGCCCAGGGAACAATGATTGAAGCTATACTCACGGCAGAACTCGTCTTCACCATTTTTATGCTGGCAAAGGAAAAGCATAAAGGTATGTTTTGAAGTGCCGCCTTCCTGCACTCAGAGCCTTGATACTGACATACGCTGCTAGCAACCTTTATCGCACCCGTAGGCATCGGCCTCGCGCTCTTCATCGGCGAACTAGTAGGCGTCTACTACACGGGAGGCTCGCTGAACCCCGCACGTTCGTTCGGTCCCTGTGTCGTAACCGGTGTCTTTGACAACGACCACTGGATCTACTGGGTTGGACCGGGCATCGGCGCCATCCTGGCCGTCATCTTCTACCAGTTCATCAAGATCCTCGAGTACGAAGTCGCGAACCCAGGCCAAGACGATGACGGATCCGATCATCACGACACGAGAGAAGAATTCGAGAAGAGAGAAGGTAGTCAGGACCCTGAAATGGGGTACGGGCCTACGCCAACGGCCACGCCAGTGCACATACCCGGTCAGGGTCCTGTTCCTCCTCCGCCTGCGATGCCCGTGGCGCATAGTCTGAGCGGTGTGACAATGGGGGCTCCGAGCATGGCCAGCGGCGGCATGGCTAGACCCGTTAGCAAGAGGAGCATCGAGGGCCAGGGATTTGGCGGAAGAGGTGAACAGAGCTTAGGTTAAATTTTGACGATGACGCCCATAATGATGGCTGCTGTCAGATCACTGACAGATATGGAAGTAATGATGGAACGCAGTGGAATGCATACGGATACGAGAGCGAGTTTCAAGAGATGGAGCTCAGTAACGCAACGAGATATACGCAAACTTGGCCACGACATGTAGTATTCTACTTTGTACAACAAAGCAAAGAACCACGAAATATTTATATAGATAGATGATTAGCCTTGACAATTAACCCGACACACACGCATATACGCATAAACATGGACACAATTTCTCTCTCACACACTCTCTCCTACAATATCAATATATTCTTTTCCATATAAAACATGAAACACGATAATTTGAAAAAAAAACCCCCACCAGAACGGTTGATCTCTGTTCTTTTTGCTTTTTCAGTTTCAACAACATCAAACACGATTCCAGACACTCACGCCACCCTCCTTGCTCTTACAAACAAACATAGAAACAAAATTTATTATTCATTGTTTCTTCTCTCCATCTATCTGGGTTCTCTCTCTCTCTCTCTCTCGCACTTCTCCCATACATGCGTCATCAACCAAGCTGTGACGTCCGTAGCAAAGACAAGGAAAGTAGAGAAAGCCACACCAATCCTTCCTCATCCGCTAGATAGAAAGAAAGAAAGAAAGAAAGAAAAGACACACGATGAATACATACATATGCATGCACGTCCTAGGTGTACATGCACAAAGCAAGCCGGCACTCATAACACAAACACGATAAGACCATGGTTTGCCTTGAGCAAAACGAAACAAAAAGAAAGAAAAGACAAAAAAAGCAAAGAAGAAGAAGAAGAAGAAGAAGAAGAAGAAGAAGAAGAAGAAGAAAACGTACGATGGAACATGCGGAAATGGGGGAATAACACGGAAAAAGGCAGGGATGTTATTTACTAGGTGTTTGTAGACCGATGGCAGATGGCGTACATGAGGGAAGGGGGTATGGGTACGTAGGGACTTGGAAACATGAGGAAAAAAAAAGCCACCCGCAGCTATCCGGTGGCCCAGCCACACAGACAAGCTGCAAGCGCGTGTGCGTGTGCGTGTGCGTGTGCGTGTGCGTGTGCGTGTGCTTCAGGCATACCTACGTGGTCAACTGCCGAGAGATGGCATGGGGGCGTTGGTAAAATTAGTGGTATGACGGCATTCGATGCACAGTAGGTTGGACACGGGATCTGTCATGTTGCTTTTTTTTCAGTAGGAAAAGAACAAAACAAGAGAGGGCCAAGATACCGGCGTCACCGCTGCTGCTGTGGCTGATAATGATGATGATGATGATGATGATGATAACACATATGTGGGGTGCTGCATGCACATGTGCCGAGGGGAGAATGGTGTGGACGTGAGAGGCATGCGTGAAGTCAGACCGATGGAGGGCGTGTAAGAGGTACTTAGCGAGAGAGAGAGAGAGAGAGAGAAGATCAGGTATGCTCCCGACCAAAATGCATGTATACTATTTTTGGTACAATGCTGACAAAGTAAAAAGAAAAGAAAAGATAATGTAAATGCAGATGCGAATGTAATAACGAGAACGCTTCAATGCAGGAAGAAATAGCAGATACAATCAATCAGCTGCTCCAACATCAACAAACGAGACGCAATATTACAAGGCCCCAGTGGAATATACTATGTTTTTCCGCCCTGGTTTTTGATACATGGGGGAGAATGTGACGAGTAGGAGGAGAGTAGATGTCGTATTCTTTTATACTCATGGCCTGGTGTTGCCGGTAATAGGCAACTCGCCGCTTCTGATTTCACTCATGGCGTAGCCTGGTCGCCACGCAGGATGTATTTCACTGTTTCCTGTCTGACTCTCGGCAATCACAGTCGAGCGGGGAGTAGCTTCGACTATGTAACTTACGCCGTCTTCTGAGACGTAAGACGGTGGCCGGGGGCCCTCTGGGGCAGATGGCTCGGGTGCGGCAGCTTCTGGCTCAGGGCTATTGCGAGAACGCCGGCCACGTGACGTTACTCGTGGGTTGGCTTGGTCTACGCGTTGCCAATGGAGGAGATTTGGATCTGCGCGGACGCTGCTGCGCCAAAGGCCGTAGGCAGGTGGAGGAGGTGGTAGCATGTGTTTCTCCGAGTCGTCTGCGTTGCCGTCGCTTTCTAGAGCACCTTCGCTTTCTAGTGTGGCTTCTTCATCGCGCTGCAGGTGGACACGGATGGGTATGATGGGCTGAAAGCCCTCAGCACCAGACATGTTGGGCACAAAACGCTGCTCTTCGCTCGGGGGATTGAGCATGAGCATGCAGAGGCGGATGAGTGAGTGGCAGAAGAAGATTGTAATGGTGAGCAGCACCATGATGAAGAGGATGTGGATTTCTTGGCCCAGGTTCTTGTCAGTCAGGGCGAACGCCAGGTCTGGGGTCATGTTAGAATTTGTCATTTACCAAACATGGCGGTTGTAACTTACAAATAGACAGAATGGCGATCAGAAAGGTTCCAGAAATCACACAAGCAACCATCTTTCCCCGTGCAGCGGATCCTTTGACGTAGATTTGGGCAGTGCCTCGCTCGTCTCTTCTACGCACCCATTGTTCAGGGCGTTCAGTGCCGCGGGGATTTCTCCTTCGGCGCCGTCTACGTCGCCTTCCGTTCACTTCGTCTGCGAGTTCCCGAGTCTCTGGGTCCGCGGGGTTGCTTGAGTCATGTGGTAATTGCACGTCGGCCGGATGACGCGAATATAGTGTTGTTGGCTCCGGAGGGTCGTGAGACGGGGTAATAGCATCAATATACGAGCCTGCGGTGTGATGTGCCTGGGGAGGGGACAGTGGCAATGCTGAATTGCCCGAGCCGTGGGGAGCATCAAGGGAGACGTTTGAAGCATTTGGGTCAGGCGATTGCTGGCGGCTCCAGAATCCTCGAAACTGTATTTTCGGAGTGGTGTTGGTGTCGGTGGTGAGGGCTGGTGAATAGACGGAAGAGCCGTTGGGTAGTGAGTGTGTTGTTGCTGGAGAAGCGTCGACATGCTGGCCCTGGCGTGGCCGTGGCGACCAAGCAAAGAGTGGTGAGCGAAACATGGTCTTGTGTATATGGGCTCACGGGTTGCTGGGGGTCAGAGATGGAGAAATGCGGACCCCAAGTTCTATCTTGGGCACGCGCGGTTCCCTTATAGCAAAGGCGGCGGGCGGCGTCGAGACGGGAGCGGTTGATGGTGCTTGGATGTTATGCAACGCCTCGCGGGCGGGGGCGTTGACAGGACAGAAGGTGTGGAGTTTGTTCAGGATGGCTGGATCGGGCCCTTGGCTAGAGGCGTCCAAGAACATGCAGCGTGGGAACCGTTGGCTGGCCCTCGTGACGCCTAGCACAGTCGAAACAAGCCGTCGAGGGCGGCGAGGAGATGATATTAGGGAGATGCAAATAGCAAAGAGGCGGACAGGCTATCCAGAGCCACGGCGGCCATACGAAGGCAGAAGAAGGAAGAGAAGCGAAACAGGGAGAGGGCCAGCGCCGCTGCCAATTACCAGCGAGCGAGGGAGACGGGCGACACAGCCATAACAGTTGAGCGAGAGGAGCAGCTGTCGCACGCAGACATGGATGCGGACGGCCGCAACGGTCAGGATGGAGGGAGCATTGAGCGCCACGCGTTTTCGCGACGGGTCGTGTGTCAGAGTGCCATGAGTGCCATGAGTGCTGGGGTGAAACACGCCTCGCCGGTGCAGCAGCGATCCCAGCTGAGGGCGCGCACGGACCGCGTTCGCCGCCCCCAGGGCGAGTCGGCGCTGCCCGCGGCGCGGCGGCTGGGGAAAAGGGAAAAAGGGCGGCGCTGGGCGCTTGCCATTGGACACGGGGAACCTGAAGGCGGAGGGCGTTCCGCCCCGAGTCTCACACTCTATTTGTCTCCTGCGCAGCGCGGCGCTGACTTGGCGATTCCTAGTGGTGTCTGCGTCGTCGGACCGGAAGGTGGTGGTCGGAGAGCTGGGCAAGTGAAAGGCGGAGGCGAGGCAGCGTGGCCACGGGCTGCTGAGCGTGCGCGACGGGCGTGCAAAAGCGTGGAGAAAGGGCCGAGGCGGTTCCGGCGCCATGTCGCCGGTCACGAGAGGGCTGTTTGCAGAAGTGGACACGCCGGTGCGACAGTGGGCAGGGTTGTGCAGTCGCATGTACACAGGCCGGCACCGCGGCGGACAATGCAGCCAGGCGGCGGGCCACGGGCGCTGGGCGCTGGTCGCTGGGCGGGCGCTGGTCGTTGGGCGGGCGCGCGAGGCAGTGGGCGGGCAGCAGCGAGGGCGCAGCGTACTGTAGAGCCAGCAATCTACGCAGCGGGCATGTGGCTTGATGCAGCGTTCATGCTCTTTGATTGTGCGTGCTGGGCAGGCGGCGGCGGGCGAGGCAGCAGCGCGCGGCTTGGCCATGGGCGCGCCGTGATTGGCATGGGCGTTTCAGGCTGCGCGCGCGCCGGCAGGGCACCTAAACGCAACGTGCAGCCGCACCCGAGACGACTGGGCAAAAGAAATCAAACTTACAAATAGGCTCGCCTAGCGGGTGGAAGCGAACGTCATTGACGGCTCCTCGGTGCCCCGGCAGCTTGTGCAGCAGCTTTCCCGATCGCGTCTCCCACACGGCTACGCTCTGGTCGCCGCTGCCAGCTGCAATCCTGTCGCCCTTGACATCCCAGCAGGCCTTCAAAAGGTTGCGTTCTTGGCCCGTCGGCGCTCCGTCGTATGTTTGCACGTGTCGGTCGGCCGGCGCAAACGGCCGCACATCCCATGTCCTGACGGTCGAGTCGTGTGCGTTAGATAGTAGAGTCTGGTTGTCCGGGGACATCTGAAGCGAAGTGACCGTGTCTGTGTGGCCAATCAACGTGTATGTCACCGCCTGTTTCCGCAGGTCCCACACTTTGATGTCGTTGTCAATGCCTCCGGTGAACAGTTCGTTGCCAGCTTCGGCCAGACATATCGCCGTGATGGGGAAGTCGGTCGGGATAAACGTCACGGCATCTTTGCTTCTTGTGTCCCACATCTGTCGCCGCTGTTAGACCAGTTTCGTGCCTCGCCAACATGGCCAAGACTCACCCCAATATGGCCGTCGTCGGAACCGCTCACAAGCATCTCCTCTCCGCGCTTGCTCACGTCCATGCAGTTGATAACCTCCTCGTGACCCGGATGTCTTCGTATCCTCTCCCCAGTCTCAACGTCCCAACTTGCGAGGTGCATGTCTGCTGAGGCGGAGAAGAGGACTTTGGAGTCGCGCGACCAGTGTAGGTCGAGTACCGCCTGCTTGTGGCCAGTGAGGATTCCGTAGTTTTCGCAAGACCCGGAGCTGCGCCAAAGTACTATACGTAGTCAGCACATTTCTCCTCGCAAGAGCTGAGCCAGTTTGAGCATACGTATAGAGCGATCCATGGAGCCAGATGCTATGTATTGTCCAGTCGGGTCGAATCGTGCTGCAAATACCTCCCCAGAGTGGCCCGTCAACTCCATAACTGGCGATTGCAGTGCGCTCGAGCGCGAACCCTACAGCACCTGTCAGCGCACCGCAACCTTCAGCATTGCTACTTGTGCCAAAAAAAGGTCCTTGCTGGTAACATACCGCCTGTATGAGCGCGCCATTTGCGCCCGAGCCGCTGACTACAGCTACTGCAGAGCTTCCCCCAAGATTGGCATCCGACTTTGTGCGCTTGACCAGCTGGCTTGTGCCAAATGCCTCGTTGGCGGGTCGCTTCTCTCTAGACATGGTGGTGTACGTGTGCTGATGTGGGCTTCGTGGTGGAGTATTTGGCTGGGTCGCGTCTAGGTGGTAGTAGCTCGTAAACTTTCGTCCAAGGCAGATCTGCGCCAAGAGATGTAAGTACGCTCCACCGCCCGAGCTAGGAACGCTCCTCCGCATACTTCCCCCCCGACGCCGACTACACGACTCGAACATAGCAACCTCATAAACCACCGTACCCACGCGCTTCCAGAGCTTTGCCTCCCACCAAACCGGTGCAACTTGCGCAAACCAAGGCCAGAGTGAACCATGTCTTCGTCTACCAAAGCGGCCCGCATGGGCGAGGAGTGAGCTCCACATGCCTAGCAACTGCTGCCTCACGATGCGCTAATACATGTTAGAGTATGGAAGTAAGCCTCGCACATGACTGAATGCATATCCCGGCTCTGACCATGTAAGAACACGAGTCGATAAGGTCAGCGCCGAGCTGGTCACCCTCACATATGGAACCATTGTCGCCCAACTATGCAAAGACTACGAATACAACTACCCAGACGTCAACAAGCAACTGGAGCGCATGGGGTACAATATCGGCATACGGCTGATTGAAGACTTTCTTGCCAAGTCGAGTGCGCCTGCTTGCACCAATTTCCGAGAGGTGGCCGAGATGATCTCAAAGGTAGCCCTTGTCAAGCCGCTGATGGGTTGCTGGCAAGCTCATGCGCATATCTAGGTCGGCTTCAAGATCTTCCTCAACATCACCCCCACCATCTCCAATTGGTCTAGCGACAACAAGCAGTTCTCGCTCATTTTTGAAGAGAACCCACTTGCCGACTTCGTCGAGTTACCCGATGACGGCCGCGCGCAGGACGAACTGTGGTTCTCCAACATACTAGTGGGCGTCCTGCGGGGCGCATTGGAAATGGTAAGTTCGGCATGGGGCTGTGGACTGCCGTAGCATTGCGTATAAACGACGTACTCACCGCGACCTAGGTCCACATGCAAGTCGAGGCGCACTTTGTCAGTGACGTCCTGCGAGGCAACGACACTACCGAGATGAGGATATCGCTGGTCCGGTATATCGACGACGAAATGCCACCGGATGATGAGTAGCGAGGGGGGCTCAGGCGCAAAAGAGTGCGCCAAGTCGCGGCCACGTGACCGAGTATAATTAGACTTTGGCCTGGCACCAGCCTCCCCCGAGCCCAGCAGCACGCGTGCGAAAAAAAACCCCTCTGCGTGCTTGCTTTTGGCCCGCCGCCGCCTGCTCACCGCGCCGCCGCCCGCCATTGCCGCGCCCCAGTGTGTCGTGACGGCCCTCGCATCGCCATGGCCCGACGGGCGGCGAGCTTGGTTGGCTGGTGGCGGGGCATGTAACGCGACCTGGACAGGTCGACGACGCCAGCGGCTCCAGCACGCCTGTGTATTGCGCCTGGCGGGCCGGCGGGCGCCCTCTACACACATCTGCGCACACTGCTCACGACATTCACGCACGTGCAAAACAACAGGGCCCCTTTTCTGCACCCGCTCGTCGGGCTGCGTGCTGCGCGTGCAATTGCGCCGTGTGCAATTGTGCCCTCATTCGCCGTGCTGACCGCCTACAAACGTGCAATTCTATCTGCTTGCAAGGCACCTGATCTGCTGCCAAGTGCCGCCTGTCCTCTCGAGCCGACTCAACGGCCATCCTGGTGGCGGTGTGCAATTGTTCTGGCGCATGGCCGCCATGCGCTGAATCGCTGACTCGTTTGGTCGAGTGACTACTGTAGAATTGCCCAACGACCCCATGGAACGGTGTACCGCTCAGTGAGCGGCCGCTCTTCCCCTCGATCCCGGGGGCGTCACAAACTTCCCACGACCTGTCCACTGTTCAACTGAGCCCTCTTGTCCAGACGCGCTCCATCGCGTAGGCGTCACCCGGTCGTTGTTGTCGTGATCACATTTCTTGGCAGCCTCCGTGCAGCGCGCCGCTGAGATCCCCCTCTCAAAGCCCTTCCTTCACGCTAACCCCCGTCCCATACCGTGCATCAGCCGCCGCCTTTTCCATCGCGACACCAGCGTCGCTACCCTTCCTCGGCAACCCTCTATCCCTCCCGGGCCTCTGCTTGCGCGACCGCAGCTCACCGTGACCGCTCCAGCACCGCAGGGCCCTGGCACGCCGCTTCCGGCCCCGGCTCCGATCCCCCGTGGCGACGACGTCCCATGCTGGTGTAGTCTCTCACTCCAGCACCGAGGTGCACGACTTACTACATCGCGTCTGCTGCCACGACCACCACCGCGCACCCCCATCGCCAGCCCCCCACCCCGACTCGTGCGCCCGACGCACCCGCTCCCCCACGCATCGCCGCGATGCAGAACCAACAGCAGATGGCGCAGATGGCGGCCATGAATGCGAACAACGGCGCCGTCGACGGCACCCCTATCATGCGCAATATGGCGCAACCTGGCGGCAAGGGCACTGACCCCACCGAGAAGCTCAACACGTACATTTACGACTACTTCCTGCGGAACAAGCACATCGGCCTGGCGCGCGCCATGCTCGAGTGCGACATGAAGATGGCCACGGAAAAGGCCAGTCCCAACAACAAGATGAACGGCGCCGACGCGATTGAGCAGATAGACGACCTGCCCCTGCCGTCGCTGCCCCCCAACCAGGTCGCCGACAATTCCTTTCTGCTCGACTGGTGGGTGCAATTCTGGGACATTTACACGGCCACGAAGCCTCGCAGTACCGCCTCCAAGAACGCGATCCAATATGTCAGCCACAACCGGGTATGTCACCAGCTTACTCGCCCACACTCCGACACTTGTTCATGGCACGGCACTGACGCAGCTTACAGAACCTCGGTCATTTGCAAAACGAGCAGCGAAACCAGCGCATGATGATGAACAACCCCATGAATGCGCAATATCAGATGATGAGAAACGGCGCCATGACCAACGGCAACCAGACCGACCTGAAGCGGGCCGCAGCCATGAACAACAACCGACCGTATGTGTACCTTGATCATGCAATGAATATGCCATTCGCTAACGCGCAGCAGCACCGGTAACCCCATAGCCGGCATGCAGCCCATGAAGGGCCCCGGCATGATGGCAGCGCAAATGCAGCGGGATGGCTCAGGCATGGACATGAGCGGCCAGCGCCCAAACTCGCCCGGATCTAACGAGAATGCCCCGTCTCCAAACAAGCGCCCGCGCGTTGATGGTACGTCATGTGCTCGACCCTTGTGGCGTATTCAAGCTAACGGAGAATGACACGCAGGTGGTATGAACACTGGTAACATGCCCAACAACCAGTTCAACGAGTTCATGCCGCAAGGTGCGCAGCAGAAGAACATCGAGGTATATGCCCAAAGCCTGGCCCACCAACACAGAGTGGCAATGAGTAACACTTCGTCCCCCCAGGGTATGAACTCTGGCGTCCAAGGCTCTCCAATGGCCCAGCCCGGCCTTGAAGGTCAAGAGAACCTCTTCACTGGTAACGGGCCACGACCCGGTAACATGCCCGCCAATCCTCCAGGCGCACCTCAGCAGGGCAACCATGCGCTGCAGGACTACCAGATGCAACTCATGCTTCTCGAACAACAGAACAAGAAGCGATTACTCATGGCACGACAAGAGCAGGATAATCAGTCTGGCCACCCACAGCAAGGTGTCATGGGCGCTCCCGGGTTCGGCACGGCCATGTCACCACAAGGCAGCCGAGCCGGCGGCCCATCGCCCAACCCCGCCGAACAGATGAAACGGGGCACGCCTAAGCTGGGTCAGCAGAACCTCCCCGGCTCGCCTATGCCCGAGGGAATCATGGGCCAGCAGCGCGGATCTCCTGCGCCAAACATGAACTTTGATCCCAGCCTGGCTCCCCCCGGCATGCCTCCGCAATTCTACCCCCAGGGCATGCCTCAGAACGGCCCCATGGGCATGCGCCCCCCAAGCTCACATCCCCAGCCCCCCAACTTCAATGGCCAACAGATAACACCCGCACAAATGGAGGCCATGCGCAACGGCCAGATGCAACAGAATGGCTGGCGTGGCGGGCCCCAGCCCGGCATGATGCCAGGCGGACAGCAAATGGGCGGCCCCATGGGCCAACCACAACAGCGCCAGCAAATGCCCCCACCCCCAGCGCCCACGAACGAACAACCACGGCCCGAGCCCTCTCCGTCACAGTCTAACCCGAACCCACCGACTCCATCGCAAACCAACAAGGCCAATCCAAAGAAGAAGCCTACCAAGGATAATAAGGTAAAGTTTCTACTTTCTGCTCCACCCTTGAGCAACATTGATGTTGATTGTAGAAGCCCGCAAACAAGAAAGGGGCGAATACAGGTGCGACTCCGGCAGCAACAAATGGCGAAGAGCCTCCCACACCGACGTCTTCCACTCCCGTGGCTCCAATCACGCCCGTCCACAAGCAGTCCTTCAACCAGGGACAGAACGGTCAGCCACAGCAACCGGTGCAACCGCCAGCGCCTGCTGACCAGCCCATGGACAACAATGGCGGTCCTCCATTTGGCAGCATTGATCCTGATGTAGGTTTCTCTTTGATCTTGTCCACTATTCATTTGCTAACTTTACAAAAGCCCAATGGCTTTGACCTTGGCCTCAACTTTCCCGACGACGGCGGCGCGCTCGAGACCTTTGACTTTGACTCCTTTCTGCATACTGGCGATAACGATGGTCTCGGCAACTTTGGCGACTTCGATTTTGCCGGTGCAACAGAAGTATAGCCCAAGCCCGAGTCTTGTTGAGGACCACACGTCACTGTCGCGGTGGTGGTGGCTGACAGGCTGGTTGTTGGCTTTTGAAAACCAAAAATCGTTCCATATACCCGTGTCTTTATCGACCCTCTCGATCGCTTTCTATCTCTTGTCCGGAGCATAACGGAGCTGGCTTGGGGTTTTGGAAACTTCGGTTGGCCTCTTGTTTTGTTATTAACTTGGGTATCAGGGGCGTTTCTCGACTTGTCTCAATTTACTGTGCTGATGCGCTTCATTTTATTTCCTTTTTTTACTCTTTTGCTTTGCAAAATCTCTCTTCCTGATCTTTGTTACCCTCTCCCCTTGCTCAATGTGCGAGACTCCAACACATATCGCTACCGATACTACTACATCTACTACTACTCCTGGTTCCAATCACCAGATATCTCTCCTAAGTGCTCTCCGCTTATCTGCCTTTACCTACCTACCTACTTATCCACCCCCTTTTCCTATATGTTCTTGCAGTCACCATATTGCCTGTTTGCTTGTCTTTTTTTGAGTTTCCTGGGGAAAGATGCTTTATGATTGGAGGAGTAGAATGGAGGAAAGTAAAGAAGAAGAAGTCCAAAAGGGGTGGAGATGGAGATGGAGTGCTATACCATATTCTTGATTTCTTTGTTTGGTCTCTGTCGTTGATTTGTTGAGTGGAGGGATACGTGTAAAGAGTTTCCAAATTCTTTCTTTATTACTGTTATCGTTGGAAATGACTTAATGCCTGAATATTCTTGGTGTATGTGTTTGATTGACAAGTGACGTTTAATATATGGTGATGTGAGTGAGGGAGAGTATTTGGCGGAGATTTAATTTGAAGATGTTGCCGCTGAAAAGGGGGTGGCGTTCGTGGGAGTGGTCACGCTGACAGCCTGTATTACTGACAGAACACAACGCACATACGTCTGCACTCTCTTTTACCTAATTCTTGGGCTACTAGATTACTAGAAATAACTGTAAGGTAGGCACGATGTACATGACAGAGTTTCAGACACTAACACTCAATACGTAGACGATTCTCAGAGCAGTCGAGTACTAAAATGTTCAGGTCAAGAGTCGTATTCACGGGTTCGAAAAACTATGTGTGATCGCCCACACAAAGGGCGGCTTACAAGAATTATTGCTTAGTTAAGTAGGGCAAATGGCTTTGTCTGTTAGAGCAGCTTATTAATCTTCTTGAGAACATGCTTGCTAATAAAGTATATATCAAGTTGCTTTTCTATATTACTTAAAAAATAGTATCCTTATGTTCCTGGATCTTATTGCCTGTTTTTTCTAGAGTAGATAACCTACAGTTGATGAAGTCCCTATAACCTTAACCGTCCACTTTTATTCTGATATAGCGCCTCTTATCTCTCCGTAGTTTAAGCTACTTATGGCTAATATAGAAGATAGCCCTCTAAAGGTTGTAGATGAGTAGCTATGTTCTACTTGTTTTTAATATAAAACTCTGCAATTAGTGCAATACGTGTAACGATTACTTGCTCAATGTATTTGAACAAGTTACACAAATGCTCGGTTGCATGTAGGTATTGCTCTAAACGAGAACTCAGACTGCATCTTTTAGCAATTAGAAACCAGTATATAGGTTTCATTTGCAATGAAAGTGCTTTCTATCCATAGCTGAATGTCTCAAGCGAACGCTGAAAATGCACTTTATTTTGTGGGATTGCCTAAAAGATATGTAGTATGATAGCCATGAATGTCGCGAAGTTTTTTATGTGCACTATGGTTAGAAAATGGTCGACATTACCGAATCGTCTCTAAAGTGCTGCTCCCATCAAAGGGGTCCTAACTGGCCCGGATGATTTGGTTTGCATCCTAACTGAGTAGAAGCCTAATGACAGTGTGGTATTTCTCCCCCGCAGCTCAATTCAGTGTCGATTCATTCTGTTCATCAGTGCCAAACATAAAAAGCTTAGCTGTAGAGCTGGTACATACATCATCATTCATATATTCAGTGGCACAATGTAATATCATGTTGCTCATCACATAGTCTGTACTCTTCAGGGTCAAACTATCCTCTCCTCCAACATGGATATGCAGACACTGAAACATCGTATCCTCCATGCCGATTGTACTCATTTGTGTAGATTTCTCTCCACTCTTAGGACCCGAAATCCACCCTCATCCAGGTTGAATTCACCTAAGCCCTTTTCTGGCTTCCACTTGACGCTTCAGCCTAAACGCAACAAACTAGCCGGTAGCTCTGTTGATTTCGTACGCCTCGGTACCTTGATTCGTGGAAAAACGATATACATATCGATAAGATGACAATAGCGTGCAAAGATGTGACTGCAATTAGACGTGAGTAGAGAATTGACTTCTGTAATTGCCATCGAAACCGTAGTCATGAATCTGGGTGCAGAAAGGGATGTTGCACAGAGACTGTGTGGATGTTTCAATGCTAAATCCGAGTCACTGCGATATCCCTATTTCCAAAAGGAACCATGATTCGCTTTGCTGTAATCCACAAGCCGCTTTGGGTTTGCCTGTGCATTACCTCCGTCCTGACATTATCGGTAGCCACCAGCATTATTGCCTACGTAACAACCGATTTGTATAACAGCCTTTGAGTTCTTACAGTACACCATGATCAGACTACTCCTGATTATTTCTCCCTTCTTGGGCACCGTCTCTGCAGTCTGTTGCTTGCCAATCATGCTACCCAATCCTCCAGCCTATGAGTGCTCTACAATTAGATCATCGTCCGGTAAGGGCACCCAGGTCACGTGGAATGTGTACGTACCAATACCACTCAATATGCTGCCTTTATCTCCTCCCAATAGACTACAAGGCCTGATACTTGGTAGATATTAGTGCTATATTCCACACTTATCATCTCATAACTGCTATAACGATTATAGCAAGAGGCATGGATTTTGGGAAGGAAAAGCGTCCGAAGATGCTTACTACATCAACTCAACAAATAACAACGCTAATAGGCGCTGGGTCTGCGTTGCAGCGTTATGAAGTCAGTAAGTTGGTAGACGCTTGCAGACTAAAGCCACCAACTCTTATCGGTGGATTCGACTCGATCGTTGTTAGCAATAGAGGTGCTGAGGCGGATATGTCAGTGGAATTGGTAGAGAAGAAGGAGCAAGAAGTGGAGTTGAATTCCACATATTATACCTCTCCGGTAATTACAATTTAAACGCATAAGCATCCAGTGTCTCTAATTATCTCACGTGCGGGTGCGGGATTACGTGGTAACATCCATTCTGTGTATTGTCTATTTTAGTACCTCTTACGATTCTATCATACATAATCGCTGCAGTAGTTGGGACTGTTGTACTAGAGCAGCCTGTCACACATCGACTTTCAGAGCCTCCTTGTAAACTGCTACGCAAAGACACTGGAGAACCGAAACTTGGAGAATGGCTTCAAGTGTAATAAGGATGAAAAGAGCAATACTTTGATATATTCTTCAACGCAAGTGTATACTTTTATATAAGCTAAGACAAATCTAACAGATAGAAATCGTAAGAGAATTGCAACATGTGCGAGACGAGGATTCGTGATTATATCGACTTGCTGTAATACGCAAAGAGCGAAATTGCAGCTCGCAGAAGCAAACTGAAGCTATAGAGTCGCAAGGCGGGACGAAAAGATGGCTTTAGACACCCCTATTGGCTGGTAGCATCAAGAATCTTGTCTTGAAGTAAATTTTATTATTTAGCTACGCATTCTTTAGTCGATAAGATCTAGGGGAGTGCAGGGTAAGTTATAGAGCAAGCAGGGGCCTTCAATGTAGTTAGCCTCTATTCATGGGGCACATTTTTGACTCTTTCGTGAATTATTTCAACTAATTTGAAAAGGGAAAGAAGCTCGAACATGATTTGTACAACATAATTGCAACGAATGCGCTAGGTAGTTGTTTCGTTTTATCGGACGCTTGGTACTGCTGTACATGCATTCCACCTACTTTGTAATTGTTTAAATACAGGTAGAAAGTGCCCTATGGCTAGAGTATTTCCGTGTTTACTTGTGCAGGATGTATCTTACATTGGTTCGTGCTCTTATAGGACGGTCGTTCACAATTGCAAACAAAGCCAATATGGTCGAGAACGGCAGCATGTAGAAGGTGGGCAGCTTGGTCTGCAACCTGCATATGTTGATTGCTGCATTTGTCGTTGCTTTACCGAGCAATGAAAGCCTAAGTTTGTGACAGCTGCAGCGCTGCCCGTTCTGTTCACTAATCATGTGATCACCTTCAGCCTCGCCGCAAAAATAGGCCGAAACTATGGAGATCTCCAGCTAAGCAGCGGGAATACTACAAGAAACTCTCGGGTCGGTCCGCATTGCAGCCGCCTTCGGCACGAGGGCTAGTTGCAATTTTGGTTTGCAACTATATCATGACCCGCAGAACAGGTCTTGCGAGGCGTCAGTCTCGCTTTCAACGCAGCAAAGGTGACTACTCTCGTAAGGTTACTTGGAAGTGGCAAGCACCATGATTATCTTGCTATAGCGTGTCTATGACGTAACCTCAGACTGGCTTCTGATCGGAGGCGCACCACTTGGAGCTAGACGTGCACTATTGTTCTAACATCAGCTTGATGTCACAAGATACTATGCACCTCCAAGGCAATATAATAGAGAATATCCTAGGCCTCTAAGATAAAAGCCATTGGTGACAAACGTATAGAACGCGCTTGTTGATTAGTAAATACAAATATGGGGGTCTGGGGTACTTGAATAGGGGTCGCATAAGTAACTTGTTAGGAAGAGAAAAAGGTATTATGCTATGGTTTTGCGCAACTGAATCAAGCGATACAATTGCCTCGTTTATCGGAAAGAGTTCTTAGTTAGGACGACATGGCTTATCGTGGGTTATGTGCGTGCCACGGAGTGATGTACGAGGCCTAGTCATTCTATGGACTGTATTTCCACAACGTAGACATACCTTTAACTTTCCTTTGTTATTAGCATCTATTTTCTATTTTCTTCTAATTTTATAGTTTTACTAACAGCCTCTTACATATTTTCTATGTGTAAGATAAAGGATAAAGTATCGCCTTACTGTCTCCTATTATGGACTTTCCTGCATTGTAATCGCTCCGGCAGCATGTAGAATCACTAGTAGAAGCAAATGCATGCTACAAACTACAAGTTAGTATTACCAATATGTAAAGTTCAAGAGGCCTAATACATCTTGCGAGCATGTTCTAGAGTAAAAAAAAGATGCAACAAGATAACACTACAGTCTTCTAGTAATGGAGTGCTATTGTGACTTAGCCCCGCGAACTAAGCACAACATTCATTCGCACCTTTCTTCCATCCTATTTAATGAATAGTTTCTCAATGCCAAAAAAATTCAAAAATACATGCAACAGCGAGGATTCGCCAGTAGTCACCCACCTGACTACTAACTCGCCGGTAAACCGTTTAATTAACAGAAGATCTGACGGGGTTCGATGCGATCGGAAATTCCTATGGTCGTATGTGCTGGTTATATGATGTTCAAACAACATGTATCCAATCACAGGTGGTTGCACGCGCACGTGACATGCTGGCACACCCGGTTAGTGCAATAGAGTATGCTCTTAGAAAGTTTAGTTCTTGTACTAATAGTTTTGATAGATAAATATCGTATCAAGGTATATGTAGCTGTAGCAGTCGATTGTTACATCTAGCTACCAATATTGCACAGCGTCTGAGCATCTCCAAAGGCATGAGAGTCACGTCCTCCTTAACCTGCACACTGTGTGGTACTTTGTTAGACATAATTTGTACTAGAAATATGGCTGCTACGTACCGAGTCAATAGCGCAAGAGAAGTAATAACGTCGGTAGAAGCCTCTTACCACTTCACAGTGGTTGCCTTTGGAACTACAAACCTAGTCGTACATATACGTCAGACGATACGCAATAATGGTGTGTTAGGTAACTTCTTACACCTGTGCATCCTCCAATCGACGCTCAGCATCCGACATGTACAGCTTCCGAAGCCTCTATATTAACGCTTGTGACGAGGGCCTGGGCAACGAGTAGGAGGATGGAGAGAATAAGCGTGATCTTCATATTAAGTTGCAAATAAGATTCCTCGGCCGCCAAATAGTGTTTGCGTTAGACTTTGAACGGGTAAATTCCGAAGATTAAAGTTGGATGAATGCAAGCGAGTGTGTATAATAGGGTTTGCGCTGTACACTTTTATGTATAGGATAGTTGTGAAGAGAACAAGTTGAGATTTGTGCAAGTCCGCTCGTCTGAGTTATAGAAGCCGTGAAACAAAACAGCATCAATGAGCTCGTGATATCCTAGAGAAAATTGTGATAGCTGCACTGTTTGCAGCATGTATTGATGTATGTGCGCGACGATATTCTGCTTGGAAAGTCTTTCCAATGGTGTACCTAACCCTGCCTCACGGTGTCACCAAAAGCCATATGCTCCGCAATAAGCCGATGAGATACAGCCTTGCACCGAGGAACCAGTCATCCCTTCGTTTTTATTGGGTTGTTTTCGGCACATAATAGGGGGGTTCAATGACACAGTGAGGGATGTCGGTTTGACTGCTTGTGTCCGGCTAGGGCTATAGGAAAATAATCCCAACTATAACGTGGTTCACAAGTGAGTCGCTAACCCAAGCGAGTCGCTAACGCCCTACTAGCCTATTAACTTCATTACTATAACGCGTAATGTCTTAACAACGCAACTATCTATTAATATATTCTAAATTTAATCTTTAACTTACTCTTTTTAACGTCTAGCTATAATATATTTAAAGTGTAAACTATGCTACTACTATCTATTGTAACGGGCTAGGTAGCCCGCTACAGTACAGATAGCGGTGGCTATCTTATGTATCAACTACGCAACGATATCAGCAGCTCTGATATCTTGTGCCAGCCTTTTTGGCGCGGTGGGCGCGTTGTAGTTGCGTGCGCAGTCTAATAGGACTCGACCCGTTACAAAGTAATAGCTAATAAACTATTAAAGAAGTATAGTAGCAACCCTATTAGTAAGAACTAAGTTAACAACTTTATTAAGTAGACTCTTAAGCTCTATACGCGCTAGAGCTATCTTTATAATTATTAGCAAGCTGCCTATAAGAATCTAGTAGCTATCTAGCGCTAGTTTAACTTAGTCTAAGTAATAAGGTAGAAGTAGGGTATTATAGACAATAATATCTATAACTTTAATAAGACTAGCTTTATAATAGGCAAGATTTTATTATAGTTAGTTATTATAGTATTAGAAGGATATAGAAAAAAGAAGTAGATATAGCTAGGCAACTATAAGTAGGTTACTATAATCTAAAGCGTAGGCGCGTTAGGTTGCTAAATACTACCCTTTTGTTACAAACAAACAGGAAGGATTCCTCTCAACAGGTTTCTACGAAAGGTTGCGGAGTCAGCCTAAGGGAAACAAAGGTGTCAAAGGACACCCGGGTAGTGATCTGCGCGGGGCGCGCAGGCCACGTGACTGGACATCCCGCCAAGGCTGGCCATCCGGGATGGCAGCGCATGATGGGATGGCAACGCCATCACAACCATCCCGCCGAGATGGGATGGAAGGGATGGCACCCAGGGCCTACCAACCTTATATGCAGCCAGCGATTCAACACGCGGCACGGCAAAACGATATTCCAGGGTATCAAGACAATAGCCCTAAAGGGGGAGGTAATGTTACAAGTAACAAGAAGGATCCTCTCCTTGACAAATAACGAGATGGCTGAAGGCCTAAGGACGTCCACGTCAAAAGGTAATGGACATTGCGGGGCTCAGGGTCACGTGATGTGCCATCCCGCCAAGACGAGACATCCCGCCAAGCTTGGGATGGCAGTGGGCCTTGGGATGGCAGTCCATCCCAGACATCCCGCCAAGAGAGGAAAAGATGGGATGGACGGGATGGCAGGACTGGAAGCAATGAGGATATAAGGATGGATAGATTTCATTATTACTCTCGTTGTGGTCAACTTAAATTGTACTTTCTTACTAGTATTATTACTTTATAAGATAGTTACATGTTAGTCTATTGAATAGATTAGCGTTGTCAAACCCCAGTTACATCTATAACTCTTTTCCACTACGAATCGCTAGACAACCTCACGGAACACTAGCGTAAAGCTCACCGGCCTTAGTGTGGGACCCGGCAAGAGAAGTATAGATCCAAACCCCGTGTAACAAATACCTACTTATAGTAGAGCTCTTTATAT